CTTGATCTTTCGACAAGTTTTGTGGATCTAGATATAGTATGTAAGTTTTACAGAGTATAGCGATCACACTGATACTGTGAATTAGATTAAAACAAAACTAATATCGTGTCGTGTAAGATGAGAACGTGCGAAAAGGTATTTGATGCTATTTTCAATTTTTAATCTCTCACTGGCAAATTGACCAATCATTTTGTTCCATTCTGACACACCCACGTCTTGAGATTGGGTATTTCATGGGCGCTCGTACAAATATAATTGTACTGATGACGGGCACATTTTGAAGATGAATTTAAAGAATTAAAAACATTTATCATTAAAATTGATTAAATGTTTTGTGGATATCTTTTGGATTATATAACAAAAAACATTTTTCTGTTTCATGATTTTATAATAAAATTATGGACTTAAAAAGTTTACGATCGTCCCGGCCGGTCATACAAAATATATAGGGTTCTAAGATGGTCAAGTTTGTTATCGAAAGTTTCATTAAATACAGCTCACTTTGTAACAGATTCACCCTACATCAACTGTTTAGATATCATTAAATAAAAGTACAAACTTTCATTGATATAAATTGTTTCATTCATTGCACAGAAAATCACAAACAAACTGGTGATTTTAATCAGATTGCAAAATTAAAGGAAAATTCAATATCCCATTGAGTCTAGGTTTAATAAACATGATGAAAATATTGAACCAATATAAAAAAATAATACGACAAAGAGAAAACAATAGATGTGTATATAATATGTGCGTGCACTGAATATTGGGCTATTCTTGATGAAAAAATGAAAAACTATAGAATAAATTGAAATAGCAGAAAGAAAGGAATGAAAGGTCAATACAACAAGACACAGAATCAACAGAATATGATTATAAAGAATCAGTAACAACCAGTACCATGATTATTGACTGATCACAATATATTACTTAAAATTTCTGATATCAACATCAAGAATGTAACTAATAAAAGAAATATTTCATTAAAAGTTATAACTAGAAGAGCGCTTCTTGTGTCGAAGGCGCAAGAAGCGAAGCTCTTTTCCGGTAACATGTGTACAAACAATTTAAGGCATGGTAACGTCGAAATACTATGCTTCCAAAATCCTTCGTCACGGAAGTAGCTAGTATAGAGTTACCGCGGTCCTATTTTTAAAGTACTGAATAACCTTACCACACTCACTCAAAAAATCTCTCTGTAGTAGGTATTTTTTTACGGGGAATGTGTTACTTCGTGCTTTAAAAAAAAAGAAATTCAAGCCTCTTTCAATTTCTTTAGTATCTTCTTCTCGCAACCCATACCGGAAATTATACGAATCGTCAAACCAGGTGGAAATCCGGATATATTTCGACTACTGCAATTCTTATTTACACGATGAAAACAAGTCAATCGTAGTCGCAGCTGGGTTAATGCTGCATTTCAATATAAAACTTACCAAAATGCATATATTGTAAGTAAAAGTGTAATTCTGCATGTTGGAGTTGACGTTTTTCTGTAGTTGTGCCCTGATTTTGATGTCCTGTGTCACCGGACTGGATCTGGACCCGAAATCTGGTGCTGGTGTACCGTAGGGCGTCACGTGACCCTCGTGCATGTAACATTAACACTCGATTGCTAAATCGCTCTGGTTTAACCCACCATCGACGTTTCTCATGTAAAAATGATTGATTTAAGAGTTGTGTATGATTAGAAATTACTTAAAAGTGCTGTACATAGATCCGAATTAATATATGTTTATAGATATTGATAAAACAGTATGTAAATATGCGAGCTAATTCTGGTTATCGGCGACATTTTCGTTTTATTTTAAAATATGGTGTACTTGTCAGACTATGTACTTCACAAATCATATTTCTCATTTAAATATCTTTCCGCATACATGTGCAACATTAGGAAACATTTTGTGTGGTGGGTTAAACTTTTCCGTTTTATAGAGCAGCTGTTAATGCACTTCGCCAGAATTGGAACTCTTCTGTGTTGTTATGGTTGCCAAGAACAAAAATGATCAACAACAAATGTGGTAAATAAATAATTTATGTTTCATCACAAATAATAATGCCAACACATACAGATGCTGTTTTATTTAAAATGCACATAATTTTATTTAAAATACAGGCAACAAAGTCAATTGTTCACTTTAAAAACAATGAATAAAGTTCAGTTCGATGTCGTAAATAGTTCAAAGAGACATAACCCGTACAGTGCATTCCAGCCGCCCGGGAGTTTTGAAAGTACAGGCCACGAATTATTCAAACGAATACCACCAAAACACACCAGCCAAACGAAACTATGTAGATCTAGAGCATCGTTTATATACACGGTTCCTTTACAGGAATTATTACTATATGAAATAGTACAATTTTGTAAGTAAAGTTGATCAAATGCAGTGAAGTTTTGACCTTGAATCTTCCATGTATATCCCTGCCTTCTGCCAAGCGCTCGATGTTGTTTGATGGCGTTGGGTACTGGTGTACAACAGAGCTATGGAAATGAGTGTAAACTGGTTATTGTCACAAATTACGACGTGAAAGCTATCCTGTCCTCCAGGACGAATGGTTACCCCCAGGACATCCAATTTATTTTACAACAATAACAAGTAATGTCCGTTGGCCAACGCTGTCCCTAGCAGACATTGTATGATGGATTTAATGTACAAATGAAAAATAAGTGCCCGCTGAGCGGCCAATATTCTGTTGTGTTTTTTATTTTCAATATAACAAGATGCATAACAAATTTACACGTCCACATCATGAGTAGCTGTAACCTCTCAATTACCATTGGAAAAATCACTAAACAAAATTCAAGTCAGCTGTGGTTATAGGACTATTAACATGTATACATATATACTGTATTGTTAAAGTCACATATAGTGTTATAGATTTGTATTAAAAAAAGACAATGAACTGGTGCAGCTTCGTTAAAGTGTTGAGCGCTAGAGCCTCAAAGGACAAAACCAGCATAAACTCAAATAATTGCGAGGATTAGCGCCACGCGTACGTTACAGTTCATATTTATCGATAATCGAACGGCATGAACATTACAAACTTTTTACTCATGGTTACCACAAATTACAAATGTCGTCCGAGGAGTTTCGAGTAAAAGTTCCTAAAATCCAAAATTATTTCCGCAACCCGAACAACTGGAGAAACAATAACAAAACAGGAGAACGAACACAATTTATGGAACATTTTAGTCTCACGAACTGGCAAAAACTTCCACACTACGTGAAAAAGGAGCATGTCCTAACCGAATGTAATGCGTGTCTTCGACACGATACTAAATTTGATGAACTGTTTATCTCAAAACAAAAAAGGACAACAATTTTTAGTGTGTGTAACGAACTCGCTGAAAAAATGCAAAACACCACGGAACAGACATGCTCCGGGATAAAACATCGCCTGAAAAATGACGCGTACAACGCAGCTGGACACCTCGTTAAACTTATCCAGCCAGCATTTGAAAGTCAATTTGCAACAACCTTATCTGCCGCCTTAACAAAAGTACCAGAACACTACAATTGACCCACAAATTACCACCATCGGAGAAAAGGACCGACAACGAAAAAAAAGTAAAATCCCAAATGTCCAGCGTCAAAGCAAAGTAATGGCGACGACGCAATTTCATTTCGAGCATCTGGCCGGTCCTATGCTCAATACGAGAGGGATAGACTTTCAATGCTTTATGAGGACAAGTCAGATGCTAGAAAGCGTACCATTCTGCAACTTTCTAAGGAAAAGGAAAATAAAATAAAGCCAAAAAACCCAGTTGGTAATGTTGAAAACTTTGTGTTTGAGAAAAGTGACTTTCTGGAGGAAATAAAAACACTCCCCAAAAACGCCACTGTGAACTGGACTGAAATGTAAAATAACAATCCAGCATACTATGACATCATTATATCCCAAGAAAGACTTCAGTCTCTACCGATAGATGGCGAAATTGAAAATGTAACTATCGAATACCATTCAAATACTTTACATACAGAAGATAAAGGTCCAGCCGAAAACCAAACTGATCCTGGTGAAAATACAGATGGAGATACACATTCAAATGTACTAGAGCCAGTTGTAAACATCAATAATGAAGTGGAGCATATTTTAGATGAAGTTGTCAACTACAACTTGAATGACCATAATGCTGGAGGGAAAAAGAAATCATCTATTGTAATTCCATGGCCAACACGTGGTGATATTCCACTGTCAGAGTTTACAACTCAATATTTTTCCAGTCTTGCTTACCCAACTCTCTTTCTATTTGCCACAGGTGATTTTTACATGAATCGGCCAAGGACATGTGAATCACTTGCTGATTGGGCTGATCATTTACTCTGGAATGAAGATGGAAGGTTTGCAAAACATCAGTATTTCAAATTTGTTGTCCACAACATGATTATGAGAAAAAGAGCTATCGAAAGAGGTAATTACATCTTTAAACAACAGTTAGGTGATGGTCAATTTACACTGAGTGAATTTAAAACAACAGATCTAAAATGGTGACAACTCTATCGGCAAAAAAAATCCTATATTTCGGAGCTTCTCTACGTGGAAGCAACCAGTATTGGGCAGAAAGATGTAAAGAACTCCGTTCACTATTCAAATATAAAATCAATCAAGGCAGTGGTCTACCATCATTTTTTACAACCGGAAGTTGTGCAGAATTCCATTTTCCTTCTCTCAGAAGACTTCTTGCTATTTATGTGAACGATACAACAGGAAGGGATGTGTATTTAAAAGATAGGAATGTCCTTTTCAATATTGTGCAGCAAAATTCCCATATTGTAGCACACTACTTTGATTTGAGAACAACTTCCTATTTCCATGATGTCATGGAACCGGTTTTTGTGGTAGATACCTACTGGTACCGCCAGGAGTTTGCAAAATCAAGAGGCATGGTTCATTGGCATGGCTTATGCTGGCGATCAGATAAACAACCACATAGTTTAATTCATGAAGCTTTGCAAACTGGACTATCTGATGATCATTGTGCTATAAAGTTGGCTCAAATGGCTTCTTCAGAATTTGGTATGTCAGCATCTCACCCAGCTGGCAAAGATGATGGTGGGGAACCAAATAAAGCATTATGGGCACCTCCAGAAGGGACAGCACAACCACCTTCAGAAGAAAATAATCCCCTTCAAAAACTTCTCATGGATGTCAGTTACTGAGTACAGATACTTCTCACTAACCGCATCAATCTCCATCGGTGTTCACAGACATATTGTCTTCAAAATGTAAAACATTCAAACACAAAGACCTGTCGTATGGAATTTCCTAAATTAATCAGAAAAACAGCATTGTTTCGGGATAAAAACAAATCTTTGCGTCTTGAAATGACGAGGGATCATCCTGTTCTTGTTCAACACTCGCGATATCACACCAAAGGATGGAGAGCGAATAGAGATATTTTTTTTAATTCTCTCAAAAAGTTCTCCACAAAATCCATCTATAGATGAAATTATTGCTACAGAGAAGTACATTACAGGCTATGCATGCAAAGGAAATCAAGGGACTGGAGCTGTTGCTGATTTATTTAATGACATGGTGAATTGTGCAGAGGATACAACTGGTGCTTCTGCCAAGTCTTTGTATCTCAAACTGCTTATTGGAGCTGTGAAGAGAAATGTGTCAGCGGTAGAGTCATGTTATGAGTTAATTCCCTTCCACTGTATCGTTGTTGTCGCACTTTCCAGTCTGTTAGTTTTTCAGGAGCTAGGCTACTTCAGTGTGATGGTAATTCTTAACCTAAGAACAATGCTTTAGACAGATACATTGCACGAGATCAGGGAAATTGTAGCTCATTTTACGAACACATCTGTAAAACTGACAAGGTTCCAGTAGTTGCAGGCAATTTCGGTCAAGCACCATGGCCATTGGAAGAAAATTATTGCAAGACCACCATCCTTCTTCATTTCCCAAATTGGAGAAAAATTTCAGATATCAAGCGTGAAAATATATCCTGGACTGAAAAATTTAGAGAGTTTCTGGAAACTGAATCCTGTCCAAACTTTGTAAAAGCTGATGTTGAAAGGTCAAAACATCATCAGAGCAGAAACAAAGATGCAGATCATTCGTCCAAATCCAGGTTTGGAAGATCCAGGTACATGTGAAGACTTTCAGTATGATGATGGTGGCCAAGATCATAACTGGAGTGAAGTATCTTTGGAATATCCAGAAAACATGGGGAAAGGCTGGCTTGATAAGTTGAATGAAAATTACCACACACCAGATGATGTGTTGCAAATTCCAGAGGTTGACTTAACCAACATGAATCAGGATCAATTGATGGCATTCAACATAACTATGAAAACACTCAATAGCTTCATAGATGAGGACAAGGATTTCAAACCTTTGCGAATGATTGTATCTGGTACTGTTGGATCTGGAAAGTCCTTTTTAATAAAATGTTTAGTAAAAGCTATTCGCATGTTATTTAATAATAACAAATCAGTGCAGGTGTTATGTCCCACTGGTAACAGTGCCAATTTGATATCTGGCGTTACCCTACACAGCTTCCTGAAAATTCCAACTCGTCAAAGAGGAAAGGAAACGAAGCAACCGGAAGGCACAACTGGTGAAATCCTCCAAAACAACTGCAGACGTGTGCATGTTCTGTTAATAGATGAACGATCACTAATTGGAGCAAATACCCTCGGCTGGATGGAGTTCATGTGTAAATGTGGAATGTATGCTGGATCAAAGTTTGATCAATCATGGGATGGACTTCCTGTTGATATTTTTTTTGGAGATGATGTGCAGCTTCCTCCTGTACTTGATGCACCTGTATACCACTGCAAAAGTCCCATATCTGCTTCAATGCACGGTGTTCTGGTTTGGAATGAATTTGACACGGCAGTACATTTGCAAAACATTGTTCGTCAAGGAAGAGAGGAAGAAGAGTTTCGTGATATTCTTCTAGCTTTGCGGCAACACAATGTTTCTTCTACTCAAGCAAAATGGCTGCAACAATTTCAATGGAACAACTTGAAAGCTGCATATGGAGAAGAACTTTTGTATAGCATGTCCGATGAAGGTTTGTTTGTGTTTCCAACTCATGCTGAAGAGTGGCAGCATAATAAGTCCAAGCTGTTGGAGGCAAACAGGAATTTTCCAATCGCAAAATGTATTGCTGTAAGCACAGGGCCACATTCAAAAGGAGGAGAAAGCTGTAAAGCTGGGGGTCTTTTAGACACTCCGTATCTGTGCAGAAATGCCACAGTAATGCTTTCTGTCAATCTTTGTGTGCCTTATGGGCTATTCAATGGTGCAATGGGCAGGGTCACCGACATCATATATCTGGAAAACAAAAGATACCCGCAGTCTTTACCGGATGTTGTCATGGTTGAATTCCCAAACTACACAGGGCCTTAATTTCTGAAAGATAACAGAAAAGTTATTCCCATTGTGCCAGTTTCAAGACAATTTGATTGCAGATGTTTCTCATGTAAACGGCAACAAATACCACTCAGGTTAGGATGGGCAACAACAATACACAAATGTCAAGGAATGACGATTGGATCATGTGAAGTAAATCGTTACATCGTCATAAATCCAGGAGCTCTCTTTGGTGCACTATCCCGTGCAAAGTCACCTGGAGCAACGGGGTCATACCCAGACTTTGCATGGCATCCCTCAGTCTTTATAAATGAAGACAGGATATGTCACAAAGTAAATACCTCAACAACAAGGGCAAGATCTGATGAAATGCCACGCATTGCCAATATTGCAAAATGCACACAACAGCTGTTTGGATTCCTGCAAAATGATGTCATTTATTACTCAAGCAAAAGAGCTTGAAGAAACAATAACTGAAGAATAGGTATTGAACACTAGAATAACATACAACAGCAAATTACTTCAATTCTAGTTCACTCCCTTTCTTATGGTATCGGTATGAAGACTATCATCATCATTTTTTTAATAACAATTTTGATTAGAGGGATTTTATTTCTGTGTCTGAGATTCTGATACATTTATTTATCTCCTCATTTATAAAATAAATGTTATTAGGCAGACAAATTCTATTTGGACCCTACATTTTCTCTACAGGCATTAAACCATGCGATGTTCTAAATTTATTGTGACATCATTAGTTATTAATAATTTCTCAATAGTGTTAAATATACATACATTTGTCTTACGATATTTATGAAATAGTTGTATTACATGGTAGAACAAGACAGATTTGGGATAAATATATATATATAAATAACACTTTATGCATAGGACATTGGCCTAGAAAGGAGCAGTACACCTGTGTTAATTTTGTGGACATTCTCCTAAAAATATATATGCAGTATATGCTTCAATTTCACATAGATACAAAACTAAATACAAGTAGCACTATTTCCTTTTTAGCACATCTGGCACCAATCAGATTTTACAAAAGAAAAAAAAAGACCTTCACATACTTTCACAGTCCAAGGGTTTAAATATGTACAACAAATCATACGACTTCTAAAGGTTAAGAAGAACTGAAAGACAGTTATTTAATTGGCCTGTTGGTATAAAACAGTCAGACAACAACAAAATTGTTAAAATTCTCTGCAACTTTATCGCCAGAACCACCCTTGATTTTTCGCAAAAGAGAACACTTTACCTTGGTGAAGGAAGTTGCAGTGGAAATTGCAGATTTATATGGAATTCCTGTAAAAGATGTTGAAAAGATAACTAGCCAGACAGCTGCATGGATCTACAGTTTGTAACAGTCGCACGAGGAGGCAAGTGTGTTTTTAGACATTGTCATCATCATCCATCTGTAACTGGTACGTTCATCATCATCTCAAGTTCATGGTTGATGCATTGCTCAATGCGACTGTGACCAACCCTCACTGCCTGTTTCATAGCTATAATCTCCTCGAAAAAGACAATAAGGTCAGGATTTCAACTGAGTATTTTACCAGGGTGTGTGTCCATTTTGGGCGACCTGTACCCGTTTCATTGGACTTGACTGCAGGATATTTTATCTCAAATATTCCACCATCTTGGAGGAATGTCCCGTGATTCTTATTTACTCTCTCTTCTCATAATTTATGACATAACAGCTGACGGGTTATGTCATAAATATTGTGTAAGATATGTGTAATAACACTATTGTGACATCATAAATAATTTATGTCAAACGACACAATAAATACTGTAGTTTACTGATAACCTAAGGAAGTGGAAATATAGGACTTAGCACGATTGTCTCCCTGTAGTTTGTTTGTTTGTTTGTTTGATTTTGTTTAACGTCCTATTAACAGCTAAGGTCATTTAAGGACGGCCTCCCCTGTGTGCAAGATGCATGCATGTAGTGTATGTGTGTGTATTTTGGGAGGCTGCGATATGTTCATGTTTGTCTTCTTGTAATAGCGCGGAACTGATGCCGACTTTATAGTGCTACCTCACTGAAACATACTGCCGAAGACACCCAGCAGGACGCCCCACCCGGTCACATTATACTGACAACGGGCGAACCAGTCGTCCCACTCCTAATTTGCTGAGCGTTAAGCAGGAGTA